TTCCCGATTGAATTGGCAACATTGCTTTCACGCGTCGTCAACTGGCTAACTTTCCATTTCAATGATATCAAGAAAACTCACGTAGTGCTTTCTACTAGAAATCGGTGATGGAATTGACTTAAAAACTTATCCAGAAACCAAATTAAACCAGCTTGCCATCTTTCGATAGAAAAAGGTGGATTATTATTTTTTTTTTATCAGTAAAAACTACGTGAAATTTGTTTGCGGTTTTCTAAGCAAAAGTACGGAATTAAACAGCTCGTGGAATCAGCGCACACAATTCTATCGGGAAGTATAAACATTTGAAAAAATTTCAAAAATTTGGGAAATTTTCAAAAATTTCTGTTTTCCCGATTGAATTGGCAACATTGCTTTCACGCGTCGTCAACTGGCTAACTTTCCATTTCAATGATATCAAGAAAACTCACGTAGTGCTTTCTACTAGAAATCGGTGATGGAATTGACTTAAAAACTTATCCAGAAACCAAATTAAACCAGCTTGCCATCTTTCGATAGAAAAAGGTGGATTATTATTTTTTTTTTATCAGTAAAAACTACGTGAAATTTGTTTGCGGTTTTTTAAGCAAAAGTACGGAGTTAAACAGCTCGTGGAATCAGCGCACACAATTCTATCGGGAAGTATAAAAATTTGAAAAATTTTCAAAAATTTGGGAAATTTTCAAAAATTTCTGTTTTCCCGATTGAATTGGCAACATTGCTTTCACGCGTCGTCAACTGGCTAACTTTCCATTTCAATGATATCAAGAAAACTCACGTAGTGCTTTCTACTAGAAATCGGTGATGGAATTGACTTAAAAACTTATCCAGAAACCAAATTAAACCAGCTTGCCATCTTTCGATAGAAAAAGGTGGATTATTATTTTTTTTTTATCAGTAAAAACTACGTGAAAGTTGTTTGCGGTTTTTTAAGCAAACGTACGGAATTAAACAGCTCGTGGAATCAGCGCACACAATTCTATCGGGAAGTATAAAAATTTGAAAAATTTTCAAAAATTTGGGAAATTTTCAAAAATTTCTGTTTTCCCGATTGAATTGGCAACATTGCTTTCACGCGTCGTCAACTGGCTAACTTTCCATCTCAATGATATCAAGAAAACTCACGTAGTGCTGTCTACTAGAAATCGGTGATGGAATTGACTTAAAAACTTATCCAGAAACCAAATTAAACCAGCTTGCCATCTTTCGATAGAAAAAGGTGGATTATTATTTTTTTTTTATCAGTAAAAACTACGTGAAATTTGTTTGCGGTTTTTTAAGCAAAAGTACGGAATTAAACAGCTCGTGGAATCAGCGCACACAATTCTATCGGGAAGTATAAAAATTTGAAAAATTTTCAAAAATTTGGGAAATTTTCAAAAATTTCTGTTTTCCCGATTGAATTGGCAACATTGCTTTCACGCGTCGTCAACTGGCTAACTTTCCATCTCAATGATATCAAGAAAACTCACGTAGTGCTGTCTACTAGAAATCGGTGATGGAATTGACTTAAAAACTTATCCAGAAACCAAATTAAACCAGCTTGCCATCTTTCGATAGAAAAAGGTGGATTATTATTTTTTTTTTATCAGTAAAAACTACGTGAAATTTGTTTGCGGTTTTTTAAGCAAAAGTACGGAATTAAACAGCTCGTGGAATCAGCGCACACAATTCTATCGGGAAGTATAAACATTTGAAAAAATTTCAAAAATTTGGGAAATTTTCAAAAATTTCTGTTTTCCCGATTGAATAGGCAACATTGCTTTCACGCGTCGTCAACTGGCTAACTTTCCATCTAAATGATATCAAGAAAACTCACGTAGTGCTTTCTACTAGAAATCGGTGATGGAATTGACTTAAAAACTTATCCAGAAACCAAATTAAACCAGCTTGCCATCTTTCGATAGAAAAAGGTGGATTATTATTATTTTTTTATCAGTAAAAACTACGTGAAATTTGTTTGCGGTTTTTTAAGCAAAAGTACGGAATTAAACAGCTCGTGGAATCAGCGCACACAATTCTATCGGGAAGTATAAAAATTTGAAAAATTTTCAAAAATTTGGGAAATTTTCAAAAATTTCTGTTTTCCCGATTGAATTGGCAACATTGCTTTCACGCGTCGTCAACTGGCTAACTTTCCATTTCAATGATATCAAGAAAACTCACGTAGTGCTTTCTACTAGAAATCGGTGATGGAATTGACTTAAAAACTTATCCAGAAACCAAATTAAACCAGCTTGCCATCTTTCGATAGAAAAAGGTGGATTATTATTTTTTTTTTATCAGTAAAAACTACGTAAAATTTGTTTGCGGTTTTTTAAGCAAAAGTACGGAATTAAACAGCTCGTGGAATCAGCGCACACAATTCTATCGGGAAGTATAAAAATTTGAAAAATTTTCAAAAATTTGGGAAATTTTCAAAAATTTCTGTTCTCCCGATTGAATTGGCAACATTGCTTTCACGCGTCGTCAACTGGCTAACTTTCCATTTCAATGATATCAAGAAAACTCACGTAGTGCTTTCTACTAGAAATCGGTGATGGAATTGACTTAAAAACTTATCCAGAAACCAAATTAAACCAGCTTGCCATCTTTCGATAGAAAAAGGTGGATTATTATTTTTTTTTTATCAGTAAAAACTACGTAAAATTTGTTTGCGGTTTTTTAAGCAAAAGTACGGAATTAAACAGCTCGTGGAATCAGCGCACACAATTCTATCGGGAAGTATAAAAATTTGAAAAATTTTCAAAAATTTGGGAAATTTTCAAAAATTTCTGTTCTCCCGATTGAATTGGCAACATTGCTTTCACGCGTCGTCAACTGGCTAACTTTCCATTTCAATGATATCAAGAAAACTCACGTAGTGCTTTCTACTAGAAATCGGTGATGGAATTGACTTAAAAACTTATCCAGAAACCAAATTAAACCAGCTTGCCATCTTTCGATAGAAAAAGGTGGATTATTATTTTTTTTTTATCAGTAAAAACTACGTGAAATTTGTTTGCGGTTTTTTAAGCAAAAGTACGGAATTAAACAGCTCGTGGAATCAGCGCACACAATTCTATCGGGAAGTATAAACATTTGAAAAAATTTCAAAAATTTGGGAAATTTTCAAAAATTTCTGTTTTCCCGATTGAATTGGCAACATTGCTTTCACGCGTCGTCAACTGGCTAACTTTCCATCTAAATGATATCAAGAAAACTCACGTAGTGCTTTCTACTAGAAATCGGTGATGGAATTGACTTAAAAACTTATCCAGAAACCAAATTAAACCAGCTTGCCATCTTTCGATAGAAAAAGGTGGATTATTATTTTTTTTTTATCAGTAAAAACTACGTAAAATTTGTTTGCGGTTTTTTAAGCAAAAGTACGGAATTAAACAGCTCGTGGAATCAGCGCACACAATTCTATCGGGAAGTATAAAAATTTGAAAAATTTTCAAAAATTTGGGAAATTTTCAAAAATTTCTGTTCTCCCGATTGAATTGGCAACATTGCTTTCACGCGTCGTCAACTGGCTAACTTTCCATTTCAATGATATCAAGAAAACTCACGTAGTGCTTTCTACTAGAAATCGGTGATGGAATTGACTTAAAAACTTATCCAGAAACCAAATTAAACCAGCTTGCCATCTTTCGATAGAAAAAGGTGGATTATTATTTTTTTTTTATCAGTAAAAACTACGTAAAATTTGTTTGCGGTTTTTTAAGCAAAAGTACGGAATTAAACAGCTCGTGGAATCAGCGCACATAATTCTATCGGGAAGTATAAAAATTTGAAAAATTTTCAAAAATTTGGGAAATTTTCAAAAATTTCTGTTCTCCCGATTGAATTGGCAACATTGCTTTCACGCGTCGTCAACTGGCTAACTTTCCATTTCAATGATATCAAGAAAACTCACGTAGTGCTTTCTACTAGAAATCGGTGATGGAATTGACTTAAAAACTTATCCAGAAACCAAATTAAACCAGCTTGCCATCTTTCGATAGAAAAAGGTGGATTATTATTTTTTTTTTATCAGTAAAAACTACGTGAAATTTGTTTGCGGTTTTTTAAGCAAAAGTACGGAATTAAACAGCTCGTGGAATCAGCGCACACAATTCTATCGGGAAGTATAAACATTTGAAAAAATTTCAAAAATTTGGGAAATTTTCAAAAATTTCTGTTTTCCCGATTGAATTGGCAACATTGCTTTCACGCGTCGTCAACTGGCTAACTTTCCATCTAAATGATATCAAGAAAACTCACGTAGTGCTTTCTACTAGAAATCGGTGATGGAATTGACTTAAAAACTTATCCAGAAACCAAATTAAACCAGCTTGCCATCTTTCGATAGAAAAAGGTGGATTATTATTATTTTTTTATCAGTAAAAACTACGTGAAATTTGTTTGCGGTTTTTTAAGCAAAAGTACGGAATTAAACAGCTCGTGGAATCAGCGCACACAATTCTATCGGGAAGTATAAACATTTGAAAAAATTTCAAAAATTTGGGAAATTTTCAAAAATTTCTGTTTTCCCGATTGAATTGGCAACATTGCTTTCACGCGTCGTCAACTGGCTAACTTTCCATTTCAATGATATCAAGAAAACTCACGTAGTGCTTTCTACTAGAAATCGGTGATGGAATTGACTTAAAAACTTATCCAGAAACCAAATTAAACCAGCTTGCCATCTTTCGATAGAAAAAGGTGGATTATTATTTTTTTTTTATCAGTAAAAACTACGTGAAATTTGTTTGCGGTTTTTTAAGCAAAAGTACGGAATTAAACAGCTCGTGGAATCAGCGCACACAATTCTATCGGGAAGTATAAAAATTTGAAAAATTTTCAAAAATTTGGGAAATTTTCAAAAATTTCTGTTCTCCCGATTGAATTGGCAACATTGCTTTCACGCGTCGTCAACTGGCTAACTTTCCATCTCAATGATATCAAGAAAACTCACGTAGTCTTTCTACCAGAAATCGGTGATGGAATTGACTTAAAAACTTTGTCGTGGAAAATGTAAAGCAGAGACAGGTTCAAAAATAATGTTTTATTGATATTCAATTCACTAACTAAATAATAATATTTGATATTGAGGGCTACTTTTGAAATAAATAAATAAATAAATTCTTAAATAATTACGAAAAGAAAACATACACGTACTTAAGTGATAATATTACTTAATAATACTTATAATTAATTAATACTTATAATTAATACTTATAATTAATAATTACTTATTACTTAATTAATTTAACTGTTAATCAAAATACTTAGTCAAATTATTTACACAAACGAAAAAAACAAAGAACAATCAATTTTCAACAACTTTCAAGAAAAAGATACCCCCGAATTTCTAAATAAAGTTAACTCGTTTTTCCTAAACTCATGTCAAAATTTAACTCACAACTCCAAAATGAAAAACTATATTTAATTAAAGGTAATACCTACATAGTAATATAAAAACTTTAAACTCAAATTCATGAGACACTATTATTATGTAGGTTTTGAATACCTAATCAAAAAATTACTTTATAGTAAATCAGATTTGTTCCTAAATCAAACAAAACTCACATAAAAAAGATTAACAGTAGGAAAATTAAAGAAAAAAAAAAACAAGATTTGCTTTGTCAATAGAATGTACTATAATTTTCTGACAATAAAGCATATTTGAATTTGAATTTGAATTTGCTTTGTCAATTGAAATTTGAAATAGAAATACACTTATAATATGACTAATCAAAATAAAAATTGTAGTACTTCAAAGTGACATTTAAAGCAGCAATAATAGAACTAATCACTATCATCAACAGCACTCAATTCGTTCCAGTGCACTTCCACAACCTCCAAATTACTCTTGAAATGAGATTTCACATCAACTCTGAGGGGGGCATAAAGCTCTCGGTCCAAGGGAGACCAACCAGTGTACTGAAATAAACAATTTAAAATAAACTGTAAATTTGATTTTTAATTTTTACTTACAATAGAAGTGTTTCTATGTTGGACTTTATCGCCCTCATCAAATGCTTCAAATTTTTGCAATTTTCCAACAATCCTCCAAATGACTGGACGCGCTTGAGGTCCCCCTTTGATATCTTTTTTGAGTATGACGAATGAGTCGGTTGCAAAATCTTCAGAATAAATTGTTTTTGGAAGGGGTTGTCTAGTTTTCGATTTGTCAGAAACAGATGAATCTTCATTATCTGAATCGTCCTCTTCAGAAGAGTCTTCTTCACCTTCACTTTCATTGGTAGCCGCCTTGTTTTTTGGAGTGGCTTTAGCTGAAGATTTAGCTGCGGGTTTAGTCGCAGCTTTTTTCTTTTGTGGCTGCTCCTCTCCTTTGAAATCCCCATCAGACCCCTCGCCATCTTCATTATCCTTGACCGATCGCTTTTTAGAATTTTTAGTGCCCTTGGGGCCGGCCTTTTTGCCTTTCGGTTCTTCCTCTGAAAATTTCCCCTCATCTTTATCTTCTTCATCATCACTGTCTTCCGCTACTAGCTTCGGTTTCTTAACCACCCTGGCGGACTTTGTTCTGTCAAATTTTGACACACATTTTGGCATGCAAAACGTCTGCTGAAATGTGGATGAAGTTAAAAAGAATTTATGAACATCAGTCGCAAGTAAGTGTACATTTGTTAACTTAGAAGTTATTCTCGTTGGAATATGAAGGATGTGCAGCTGAGTTTGTGTCGAAATTAGAGGAAATTAAAGCAAATTTGAAGGGAATGGGCGAAGAAGTAAGTGACAAAATGTTAATTACGAAAGTATTAATGTCTCTTCCAGAAAATATGAAACATTTTGTTTCTGCATGGGAATCCACTCCTTCAGATAATCAAACATTGGCAGACTTAATGTCGAGGCTAATGATAGAAGAAGATAGGAATAAAGTTTCACAAGAAACAATGGCTTTTTCAGTTAAAAAGAGATTTCATTCGAAGAGTGATGTAAAATGTTACAGATGCAATAGAACAGGCCATATGATTAAAAATTGTCCTCAATCAGTTAAAAAACAGTGCAATTACTGTAAGAAAACTGGACATGTAATTCAAGATTGTTGGTTTAGGAAGAGAAAAGATTCTAATGAAAAGAGAAATGATAGAAGAGGTGATCAAGCATTAGTTGGTAACTCAAAATCAGGTGTAATCTTGAATGGTCATGATGTTATGGCAATGTTAGGCCAGAACAATGATAATTCTAATTATTGGTGGTTGGACAGTGGTGCTACTAAGCATATGTGTTTTGACGAAAACCAGTTTCTAGAAATAAATAAAGAGCCTATAAAAAGACAAGTTCGAGTAGGAAATGGCACATTGGTTTCTGTAAAAGGAAAAGGTACAGTGCAAGTTGAAGCATGGAATGGAGATAAATGGGTAAGAACCGATTTGAATAATGTGCTTTATGTACCCGATTTAGCCATAAATTTATTTTCATTGAGTACTGCTTTAGATAAAAATTTGGAAATGCATTCTGATAAAGAGAAATGTGAATTATTGGACAAAAATGGCAAAGTGCGAGCAATAGCTAAAAGACAAGGAAAGTTATATAAAATGAAATTTTCAAGTATTAATAATCAGCCTATGCAATGCAATGTTGTGCTAAGTTTGGAAGATTGGCATCAAAAATTATGTCATATCAATTTTGATCAGGTTGAAAAAGTCTTGAAAAGAAACAATATTTCATTCATAAAAAGAAACACATTTTGTATCCAATGTCTAGCTGGGAAGCAGCTGCGATTTAATTCATGGTGATCTTTGCGGGCCATTTGAAGTATCGTCTCTTGGCGGAGCAAAATATTTTTTATTATTAAAAGACGATCATTCAGGTTATAGGCATATTTATTTCCTAAAAAATAAATCAGAAGTAGAAAGTAAATTCAAAATTTTTATTAATATTACTGAAAATATAACTGGAAATAAAATCAAGACGTTCAGGACAGATAATGGATTGGAATTTATTAATAAAAAAATAACAAAGATATGTGAAGAAAGATGAATTTGTCATCAAAGAACATGTGCTTATACACCAAAGAGACGATAGAACAATAGTGGAATCTGTGAGAACTCTTTTGCATAGCTCAGGTTTAGAAAAACGTTTTTGGGCGGAAGCTGCAAATATTGTTGTATATACTTTGAATAGAGCTGCAAAGAGTCCTCAAAATGACAAAACACCTATTGAAATGTGGCATGGAAAGAAATGCAATATGGATATTTTTCAAGAATTTGTTCCCAAAGCTAAACGTTTGAAATTGGATGCTAAAAATGAAATTGGTATTTTTGTGGGATACTCTGAAGAAGTAAAAGGCTTTAGGGTATTTTTGCCACTGAAAGAAAAAGTTGAAATTCACAGGGATGTAATTTTTATACCTGAAAATGATAATGCAAATGAGAATAGAACAAAATTGGAAAAAGACAGCAAAACCACTATTTCTCTAAATTTTGAAAATAACAGTGAAAATAAAGAAGAAAGTCAAGACAATGAAGAAGAGCCTACAATAAATCATGATGAAGAAGATAATATTTTCCTGGAAAATGATAATACAGAAACCGAAGAAAACCTAAACGAACCGGAATATGAGACTGAAACACCTGAAGTGATGCCAGAACAGGAAAATGTAACTCGAAATATAACTAGAAGACATGGAAAAAGAAGTATCAAGAGACCAACATGGTTAAAAAACTTTGATGTGTTCGGAGATTCAGCAGATATGTGTTTTTATTCAGAAAATGAAGAACCAGTTACTTTTGAGGAAGCTGTTTCAGGTAAAAATAGTGATGATTGGAAAGAAGCTATCAAAAAAGAACTTAATGTGCTAAAAAAAAATGAGACTTGGAGTGAAGTACCTTGGCCAGTGGACAAAAAGGTGATTGACAGTAAGTATTAAGCACTAAGAAATAGCGATTAAGAATTAGGAATTAAGGAGTTGGGTAATCCAGCCCTTAGCACACACAAGCCATTAATGCGTTTATTCAACTTACCTGACCTACCCACTCGTATCCGGAACTTTCAAAAGGTTCGGAAGCGTCTTCGTGTTTGCGTTTGGTACTCATTTTCTTTACATGTTAAATTGAAATTTTTGGAAACACTTAAAAGAACGCCGCGCCGGAAAGCGAAACACCACACGATATCAAACAAAATGGCAAATAATTCTAGGTTAGGGTACGCTACGAACGTCGCGAAGCAAAGAGGAATGTCAAAGGAAATGTGAAAAGCTTACGGCCAATGAAATGACTAGTTTCAGGCATGTGGTGATCTCGCTTGAATTTTTCTGCCAATGACGTTGCCGCATTTGAGTCACGTGACGCAAATTCTGTCTTTTCAAAATTGAAAGCGAATGCCGAATAGCGATTTCAGCATTTCTTGCGAAGTGCACTCGGTGCCGTTTTCATTTTCTATTCGAAGCGCCTTCAACAATTTGCGAATGACCCAGAATCACACCTTTTTTTAACACTTTGATGTTATTGTGTTAATTATTAATAACTGTATTCCTTAGCCGCTTTCCAGTATGCACATTGGGGCGCTCTGGCGCGCTCCAGAGCACCTCGGGGGCGCCACGCACTAGGAATTAGAGGGAAAATTATCTTGAAGCCTTGGATGATCCGATCTATAAGCCAATAGTTGTATTCCTTTCAAGAGCTTGAAACACTCGAGCTACTCGCTTCGGTGCTTAGTCGCCCCCGATTTGCAGGGAACATATGCGTGGTGCAACAAACACTTTTCGAAAGGAATAAGCGCGTGAAGCCCCGGAGCTGTTCCGGAGCTCCTCCTAGGTGTGAAAGGAATACAACTAATGTCGTAGATCATAGATCTTCTTGAAGAGGTAGAAGATGCCCTATCATCCTATGCAAATTTATGACTTGATTTCCAATAACTAGGTAATTGACTATGTAATTACTGTTTATTTCAAATAAAAAGCCCTACATGCCCTGGATGTTTTGTTTGTTTGTTTATAAAATTAAAATTCATCGACAAAAACGCAGAATGGGTTTCGCCAACCCCACATACCGCCAACCCAAAATGGGCTTTTATTGCCTTTTATTAAAATCTATAGGAAATTTGTGACGTTATCGGTGAGTTCCTTTCAGCTGGCCCTCATTACAAAATCACAATTAACTAATTTGAGTGCAAAATCCTTTGGTGCATCGAACCGACATTTTTACCGTGTTTACACAAAATTGAATTATCATCCAATCTGAAGTGTGCTGTACCAGGTTTTTCTCGTTTCCATATTCAGTCATTTTCCGACAAAAAACTAAGAGGGGGCTATAAGTTGATGCCAAATTTTAGAAATCAGATCAAAGAAAAACGGACTCTTATTCTTATTAAAGCTGAAGTGAGCTGAATTGTGCCTGATCAGGTTATTCCAAGTTTCCATGTTTGGCCTTTTCCCAATATAAACCTAATGGATGGTATGTAGGTATGTAAATTCTCAGAGCTGAACGTCAAGTTAGCTAGTAGGATTTTGCCGGAAAATAACCGAATAAGTATGTAAATTTTGAGAAAACCTGATACAGCAGAGTTCAGTACACTTCAGATTGGATAAGAATATAATTTTGTTCGAACTGATTTTCGAAATTTTTGGGGGGGGGCTGAACGTCAAGTTACCTCCCCAGTGGGATTTTGTCGGAAAATGGCCGAATATGGAAATTTTGGGAAAAGCTTGATACAGCACACTTCAGATTGGAAAAGAATTTAATTTTGTTCAATCTGATTTTCAAAATTTTGGGGGGCTGAGCTTTAAATTGGCTCCCCGCTCCCCAGTATGATTATTTTGTCGGAAAATAACTGAATAAGGAAATTTTGAGAAAAACCTGATACAGCACAGTTCAGCACATTTCAGATTGGATAAGAATTCAATTTTGTTTAATCTGATTCCCAAAATTTTGGGGGGGCTGAGCATCAAGTTAGCCCCCCAATAGGATTTTGTCGGAAAATGACCGAATATGGAAATTTTGAGAAAAACCTGATACAGCACAGTTCAGCACACTTCAGATTGGATAAGAATTCAATTTTGTTTAATCTGATTTCCAAAATTTTGGGGGGGCTGAGCGTCAAGTTAGCCCCTCATCTATTTTTTCCTATAACTTTGTTATCAAAACGGCACAGTTCAAAATATCATCGGCACAGTAGAGTAGAGCACACTTCAAGCACAGTAAGTGGTTGCAATTTTTTTTAGAAAATTCGAATGTGGGGTGGCTAACTTGACGCAGCTCACTGGTAATTGGAATTTAATAAACACTTTACACGTTCTGCTGTTTGCTCGGCCATTTGTATGTCTATCTGAGAAGAGTTTAATAATTGATTAAAAGTATAACTACATTCATTAGGTACTTGTATCGGTCTCACTAGAATCTTGATTTCTTTTCCTTTTAGCAAGTCTTTTAGCACGCATAGACTCTGTTTTTTGGCTGGGTTTAGGAATCACTGTAGAAGTGGGCAAATTCTGTGATGGTACAGCTGTTTTTTTTAATATCCGACCTCTACGAGTACTCTCACCTGTAAATAATAAAAAAAGTCAATATTTTCAAACAAAACATTTTAAAAATAGATTAGGTACTTAATGCCTGGGAGCAGGCCTGAAAGGCAGCTAATGCACAAAACTATCCAATATGCTTGTTTACCTTAAGACAAACTTAAACTAATACTAACCTCTATTAAGATAATCTTCTTGCCGAAAGTGCAGAGAACACACCTTCATAAATTTGGTGATTGGTTTGCCAATTCGAAGTTTCAAAATCCAGGCTTTTCTTCTCGACACTAATTCTTTTCCAATCTTGGTTTCCAAATGAACCTGTGGGCCCGTTTCAGGGGGAAATATATGAAAACTCAACCCTTTCTCAGCATCTTTTTTGGCCCAAGACTTGCATTGAGGAACACAACAGTAGTAATTCGAGGTCATGTTTGAATGTATCTGATATAATTCACACTTATTATTGCCCCAACACGCTTTAAAAATCCAAAAAAACTCCAAAAATAATCACTAAAACACAATGCTAAACAATACAAAAACAAACGGACAAGGAGTAATGGAAATCTGGGCAAAGGAGTGTACTGGCGAGATCAAGAATAGCAACATATTCTACATTTAGTTGATGAATTCTAGATAATTTATTTTATTTTTAAGGATTTAGAAAATAGGACAAATTGCATTAATTAAAGATTCCAAGTTAATTTTTTTATAGAATTAATAAATAAAACTAACCACCCCAAGTCAAGCGTTCAACGTGATCAGCCTTTCGTTTAGATTTCTTAATAAATCCTAAATATTCCAATTCTGCCACTGCTTGAGTAAATCGCGCTCTGTAATATAATAATTAAGGAAGTATTCTGTGATAAAACCATAATATATGTAACAGGTAACTTATATTTTAAAGGATACTGTAATTCTGGATCAACCACCTTACTAGGTTTATCATCTAAATCATCAGAATCTTTGGGATCGACAATATAAAGAAACGCTTGTAACCAGTCATACAAATTGATCATTTTGCCACATTCCAAATGCAGCTTGTAAGCGATACAAATATCGGGCATCGTTGCTTTGATGATTTGGCAATTGGATATCTCGCAGCAGTTACACTAAAACCTCGATAGAAACTGAACAAAGAATAATGAAAATAATTATTCTCACCTGTAAATATTGGTTGGGGTCGTTAAGTGCATTATGAATAGCAGATCTGTGCATTCCAATTATTTTCGATTTAATTGAAATATCATCAAAAAAGAATATTTCGTAAAACGGCATTGTGCTAGGTTGTACCAAGAACATCTCAAAATGCTTAGTTAGATAATATAGAATTTCTTCGCGGATTAACTCATATTTGTTTAGAGGTTCTGCTTTTTGTTGTGATCTTGAAAATAAAGTCTAAAAGAAAGAATTATTTCCATTCTTATAAAAATATTTAAAAAAAATACACTTTTAAATCCCCTACGGTCAGCTACTTTATCCATTTCAGTATTGTCGCACTCCATTTTTTCAATTTCCTCATTGGCTTCAGGACTTAAAGAATCTAAAGTATTTAACAAATCTATAAAACCACAGATTTTGTTAAAAAAATCTTTCAACTGTGTCTTTTTGGTTTTCCTATTAATATATTCACTAATAATATCCTTGATGCTCATCAATTTAGCACACAAATTGTCTTTGGATTGGAAATTGAGCAGTTGCAAGCATTTCGCATATTCATTCGATTTAACAATGGGTTTGTGTACTGCATGGGCATATATTTCTCTATACTAAAGAAAGTGCAAAGGTAAGTTATTCGAATTGGGTAAGTATAATTTCCTCACATTTTTACCTAGAGGAGCGCCAGGTAAGTCTGACACAAGCGTATAGAGACATTTCAAAAATATATGCAACCTTTTAATATATCTTTGGATTATTACAATTTTCTCAAACACTCTTACTTTGAAATATTCATCGTCAATTATTAGGAGTATTCTATTTGTATAAGGCTCAGATTCAACAAATGCTCTATAAACAAAAAAAACTAATCAAAATCCTTGTTTGCTAGGTCATAATTTTTAACCTAAACGACAGAAGATGCCGAACATTCTCAAAATCTTCATGCGTGAAGATCGTTAAAACTTCCTTTACATCTTTTTTCTCAACTTGACAAAGCGCCATTGCATTTCCATAGCAAAAGTGTTCCATCATTGCATACTTCAATAATTTCAAAATCTGAATAATCATAATCTTATTAATTAAATTTTTATAATCTTACCTTAATATTTTGCACAAAATTCTGAACAGAAAAATCATAGTACAAGAAAATCTCTGTAAACAAATCAAAAACATTGTTTCCTAGCTGAAAGGGGCAAAATGGACTGAAAAAGACACCTTCCAATATTTTATTTAAGTGTACTGTGGAAGGTTCGCACTTGAAAACTTTAATATTGGTCTTCGAGGTGACATGATATGGAAAAGATGTGTGGAGTGTATTAATGGAAGTGGCAATGCCAAAAACAAATACAAAAGGTAATTTAGCTATATACAAGCTAATAATAAGAATAAATCTTTGCAGTACTTCAGTGCTAAAGCTTTCAAAATCTGGTACAATGACAACTAGCACTTTTTTTTCAGCGTTTACAGGATACATGTGTTTGTACCAGTTTTGCAATAGAGGCAAACTAAAATCTGAGTTTTTTAAATTGCTTGTATAATCTTCAATATCATCACTATTCTGAAAAAATAACATAACTGAGACTGAGAACAATGGCTAAAATATAACTAACATCATCCTCAGTACTATCTGTAATAAATTGATAGGTCATATTTTCAATGAGACATTTTAAATTGACACAATCTTGGCTATGCAAAAATGCAACATGTGGAGTTATATCGGCTTTCATTTGCCTTCTTAGATTTATAAATTGAGCTTCATGATCGGGCATGTTAATTCCTAAAATGTGTATTAGAAATTATTGGCCTAAAAATATTTATAAAAGTTTACCAGTTAGCAGGGCTGCTGTAGGTATTGCAGTTACTGAGTCTTGATGGCTAACACTTACAAATTCTAAGAGGTCTGAAGTCATTGCGGTAAACATTTCAGAAGTTAGATTCTAAAAACATTGAAATGTGAGCAAAATCTTGAGTGATAATAATATGTCTCTTGAAAATACCTCATATTTATTATTGAGTGTCTCCCACAAATATGTGTATTCTTTATACCACAAATTATCAGAAAACTCGTCATTTTTCGGCTTATTGAGTACTCCTTTCTTTGAAGATTTTTTGGATCTTTTGAAATTGTTTGGGAAAACAAAAATGCCCTACAAGTTTGTGAAAAAAAAATCAAATTGAGGAACCTCCTTGGAAAGTCTTTAAGGGCGCAAAAATATACCTTGGACACAGAAACAGTCTCCTGCTCAGCCATAGTCACAGGTAACAACCAACTAATACTAACTACTACTAACTACCCTGTAAGAACAAAAAAAAAATCTTCCCTGAACAAACCAGTGTTGCCAATCTGATTTTGTGAAATTACACGATATGCTGGTCAAATTACACGTTTTTACACGCTTTCAGTCTCACAATTACACGATTTTTACACACGACTTTGGTACCTCCTTTGCAAGTATAATTATTTTTTTTGTAAATAATGATTTTGGGAAATGGGTCAAATCTAGTCAAATCTGAGGGTTAATGCTCCTGATCATAGCTTATAGCTTCTTAACCAAAAATCAAGATGTGGCAACGACAGAAACGCGATCCGAAAGTAATCAAATTACTAATTACTTTACTTTGGTTTCTGGAGAATTGGATACTTTTGGACCTCAGTTTCTTGCAAGGATAATACACACTACTACTACAGGATAGCCTATCCTTATAAGGCCTGTGAAGTTTAAATCTCAAGCCCCTACCATGGCAAAACACCAGTGATGACGTAGGCATCGTGTCGTTTCTCGTCTTGACGAGGTTCCCAAGGTTTTATGGTAATGGGTAACCTGATGACGAATCTGGAGTGCCTTATGGACATTTGCATTATGTTAGGGCACCCAAGATGACGTCATAGAGTTATCCAGGCAACCCATTTCCATAAACGAGGCCGATAAGCAATCCTAAGTAGTGTGTATTGATCTTTAGTTTCCTGAAATCTTGAGCCGTTTTCTCGCGTCCACTTTTTTGACATTGGTTCAAACCTGTTTTGAGAAAAGTGGGTGCGAGAAAACGACTTTGGTTTTGAGCTTAGCCATAAGCCATAAAATTTTCAAATTACACGCAAAATACACGCTTTTTGTTTATGTTCGAAAAATACACGCAAGCCAATCAAAATACATGCAAATCGTGTAATTACACGCTAATTGGCAACACTGGAACAAACACGAATTCCGTCCGGCGAACATAACGTAACCTCGAAGAAAAATTACCGCCAAATCTTGACTGGCGGCTAGACGCGATCGCGATCCAATGTTGCCAATTCCTCCTATCCTTTCATAAAGTGCCAAATTTAAAATAGATTTATATTGCGGATAATGTTACAATAATTAAAGGTTAATTTCTGTTATGGGTACAACAAATAAAGTCTCGCATGATTAGTAGTCGTTCGAGTCGTTCGTATAACTGTGTTTGCGTGCGGAAAAGTAACACTTTGCGCACTTGTTGTAATGAACTTTGTGTTAGATGGGTTTCCGTTTCCAAGGCGTTACAATGAGAGGGAAAATTGAAAATTATCTTGAAGCCTTGGATGATCTGATCTATAAGCCAATGTCAATGCGTCGTAGATCATAGATCTTCTTGAAGAGGTAGAAGATGCCCTATCATTATTATAGGGTGTAGTACCTACATCCTATGCAAATTTATGACTTGATTCCAATAACTAGGTAATGACTATGTAATTATTGTTTATTTCAAATAAAATGCCCTACATGCCCTGGATGTTTTGTTTGTTTGTTTATAAAATTAAAATTCATCGACAAAAACGCAGAATAGGTCTCGCCAACCTCACATACCGCCAACCCAAAATGGGCTTTTATTGCCTTTTATTAAAATCTATAGGAAATTTGCGACGTTATCGGTGAGTTCCTTTCAGCTGGCTCTCATTACAAAATAATACAAAATCACAATTAACTAATTTGAGTGCAAAATCCTTTGGTGCATCGAACCGACATTTTTACCGTGATTACATATTTAGCCCTGATTAACTAATTACGAAAATACCTGAAAATGGTGAATAGTTATTCCTTTCACACCTATGAGGAGTTCGGAACAGCTCCGGGGCGTTACGCGCTTATTCGTTCCGAAAAGTGTTGCGCCTGAGTACTCAAGACTCAAGCCCAGCATAAATGCACGAAAGTCAGCGAATCTGTTCCTTTCAAATCGGGGTGACCGTCGGAGCGAGTAGCTCTAGTGTTTCAAACTCTTGAAAGGAATACAGCTACATACTGGAAAGCAGCTTATATTATATCCTACCGGCGGTACACTCTTGTACTCTATCCGTTCCAACGGCCGCACCGGTGCGGCGTGATCCCGACAATCCAGAGCCGTTGATCGAAACGAGTCTGTCGGTGTAATGTACTCCGTCTCTGAATCCGTGTCCCTACTCCGAGTCCACACTTTTTCCTGTTCCACTGGCCGGCGCGGCGTGATCCGATTAGTTCGAGTTTGAGTCCGAGTCCGTACAACGTAAGCCGCTTTCCCAGCTGACGCTTTTGAGCACGCAATCGAGCGTTTGCGCGCGCAAATGCTTCAAGCGCGTGTTCGTGTTCCAGCCGTACTGCGCTTCGAGAGCTGCAAACTTTTGCGTTTCAAACACAGAACACTGTGCTGCACCTTGCTTGAAGCACACAGCTGGAAAGCGTCTATCTATAGACAACGCAAAAGTGGTCCGGACTTGAACTCGAACTTGGACCGGACCTGTTTATTTCGCAGTGGATCAGTTCCCACTGTGAAGATCAGTTCCAGTATTTGGCCCTGATAATAGCCAATTTTGGGTTGGCGAGCCCCATATCTGCGTTTTTTTCGATAAATAAATTTTAGGTATACAGTATGCACAAACAAAGAAAGCATCCTGGGCATTTTATTTGAAATAAACAGTAATTACCGTAATTACATAGTCATTAGTTACTGGAATCAAGCCATAAAATTGCATATTATACTACCACCCTATCATAAGTTAAGTTAGGGCATCTTCCACCTCTTCAAGAAGATCTGCGACTATTGGCTTATAAGATCATCCATCCAAGGCTTCGAAAGGTGGGTTCGGCTTGCTCACTCCGTGCTTTCCGAGTGACTCCATTCGCACTCCAGCCGTTCGGGTTAAGGTTCGGGTATTGCTTTTTACGGTATTAGGGGTGACTCCATTAGCTCTGTTCACTCCACTCAAACTCCGCGCTGAATTGGGATTTCAAATTAGATTGTAGCGCCGCGGTGGCGAATAGCTCAACTACTTTGTAGTACATTGATTCATAACCTCACTTTTATTTTGAACTTACACGTTAGATACTCACATTTTCAAGGCTCCGTTGGACCACCGATTACCTGCCAGCAGTCAGCGACGATGCGGAATCATCGACTTTATATGTTGGCTAGTTTATGTTTGATTATGACGAACCAATTCAAAGTACAAGACTTTCCAACAGAGTTTGGAACAGGTTTTTGCTGAATCTTCAGAACAATTAGAACCAAATTGGAATTGATTCTTGTTTGTTGAACCTCAAACAAAGAACAGTAAATTTATTGATTTGGAACACTAACTGTTTTTTGATGTTCGGAACAGTAATTGAATTACTCCGAACTCCGCATCACGCATCGTCAACTGGCTAACTTTCCATCTCAATGATATCAAGAAAACTCACGTAGTGCTTTCTACTAGAAATCGGTGATGGAATTGACTTAAAAACTTATTTAGAAACCAACAGTCTTTTCTCAATTTCTTCTTGCGTTACATCCGTAATTTTACATCCAGCTCTGGAAATTTTACGTTGGGTTTGTCTTGTAGGAGCTGCCCCTGGTAACATGTCTTTTAATATCAATCTAAAAATAGTTATTAGAAATTGCTTTAAGAAAAAAAAGGTACATACAATAGCACTCCTCCTCTACAGGCCACACCCCACGCTCTCAAGCAGAAAGTTAACCACAAATACGTAATTTCCCAAGGCAATTTAATCAAACACATGAATCCTTACAAATTGTTGGACCGTAGACCGCCGACAAAGCTAGGAAAGTATGGTTGGATGAAATAAATGCCACTTGGCACACTTACTTTTTCATCCAACCATCTCTCTCCCAACTTCTCTGACGCTCCCAGAGAAGTTGAAGAGCGGTGCGACGCTTCTTCCTAACAGGTCCGGCCTTGGAAGGTTCAGAAAGAACCTGAACATTTTCCTGGGTTTCTGTTTCGTCTGAACCCTCCAAGGCAGGACCTGCTAGGAAGGGTGAGGGTGAAGGGGAAATTAATGCCCTTTTGGTGAATCTGACAGGGACGTTTATCTCGGATTCTTCACTGTCAGAGTCACCAAAGACATTAACTTGACCTTCGGGACTGCCTTCCACCCTAGTATCAGTAGAGGGCCCAGCCCGAGGCCCAGCCACTGGAGTGGCTGGGACCTCTACTGGTACTGAGGGGAAGGCCTCGGGAACGGCAGTGGAGAGCTTGCTCTCCGGGGGCACTGGAGTGGGACTGCCTTCGGGGTCGGGAGTAGGATTTTTGGGTTTTTTGACGGGGAACAAATGTGTTAGATGGGAGTGGGGTCCAAGGAGGTGGTACAACTTTTCAACTTCTCTGTGATGCGTACGGCGATCTACCCTTACGCCTAAGCGTCTTTGTACGATGAAATGTCTCAACAACTTGTAAGTTTGTATTTCTTTAAACTGCATGTGAAACTGAAAATAGGTAATATTTTCAGCTTCGCAGCCGTTAAAAGAAACAAATTCAAACGGTTTGAAGAAAAAGTCTTGGAAACTTACCGATTTGTGCTTCTCTTTCATGCTTTCCCACGTGGAGCACGACCGACACCTCTGCCAGGTAGGCATTTTTTCTTTTTTAGATAATTTTAATTTTAAAAACGGTCTGTTGGAGGGAGGCCGCGACTGACTGGACTGGACTGACGGAAATGACGGAATGACTCGACTCGTACATGTGTGTGTGTCAATTGTCAATTAGTATTCGTAGTTGACAGCCATTAGTTGTATTCCTTTCACACCTAGGAGGAGCTCCGGAGCAGCTCCGGGGCTTCACGCGCTTATTCCTTTCGAAAGGTGCTTGTTGCACCACGCATATGTTCCCTGCAAATCGGGGGCGACTAAGCACCGAAGCGAGTAGCTCGAGTGTTTCAAGCTCTTGAAAGGAATACAACTATTGACATTTTGGAGACGATGACACTAACCGACACTAAGGTTCGGTAATTGCATCTAGAAGCAAAACGAGCAAAATTTGACAAATGTCACGTGACTTAACATGTGAATAGAGGTAAGTGATCACGTGATCGTCTGTCAAAATTTGCTCATTTTGCTCGCAGATGCAATTACAGAACCCAGTGGATGACGATGACAGTAGTTGTATTCCTTTCAAGAGTTTGAAACACTCGAGCTACTCGCTTTGGTGTTTAGTAGCCCCCGATTTGCATTGAACAGATGCGTGGTACGACAAACACTTTTCGAAAGGAATACGCGCGTGAAGCCCCGGAGCTGTTCCGGAGCTTCTCCTAGGTGTGAAAGGAATACAACTATTATGGGTACTTTCCAAAATTCACCGGTTTTTCAACCGGTGCCACACCGGTTTAATAGTTTACTCACCAAACCGTTCCAAAATGCACCGACTTTTTACCGGTTGAACTTGATCGTCCGTTCCAAAATTGACCGGAATGATCAGCTGTTTGAAACCGGTGAGGCACCGAATCCACCGGGAATTTTTGTCGGTTTTTTCGATTGAAGATTTTTTGACACTTTTGTTTTGACGTACATTAGGAAATTGCTTTGAATATCGGCAGTCATTCGTTAAATTTTTGCTTGCAGAATAAGAAAAAAAGTGCGTTTGCTTCAAACCAGACGGCGAAGTGAAAACTTCAACAAAACGAGAATAATAATAAGGCCGACTTCACCCGGGTGAGTGTTACATAACCGAGCGTGACGAATGAGTCACATTAAGAACTCACAAAAAAAAAGTGCTAAGCGCTCTTAAAGAAGTTTCCACTTCAAAAAAGTAAAAAGAAAATGAGTTTATTCCAATCTCAAGATTCCAATCCAAACAACACAAACAAACTTCAAACTTTAACACACCAAAGCGTTCCAAAATGCATCAGGAAAATCTTGTAACCGGACTTACAGGGCACTTTCCAAATTTCACCGATAAATTGACCGGTTAAATAAACCGGTAGCTTTCAAAAAATTCCGGTAAAAGTCAGATGCAAGTCCGGTTACAAGATCTTCGTGGTGCATTTTGGAACGCTTTGGTGTCAAAGTTTGGTGGTGTTGCTTATTATTTTTTGGAATGGATTTTTTTGTGGGATGCAGTGAGGTTGGTATGTATTTTTATTATTTTTAACAGTCAACAAACGGTAGTTTTCAGTACGATTTTTGTAGATTATGTGAGCTGAATATTTGGTTTGTCGATTTCATAATGACGCCCACGCACAAACATTTTTTTATTCTGCCATCTGCAAGCAGCAATTTAACAATAAACTGCCAATAGTGCCCATTCAAAGCAATTAAATTAATGTACGTCAAAAAAAAAAGTGTCAATAAACCTTCAACCGAAAAAACCGACAAAAATTCCCGGTGGATTCGGTGCCTCACCGGTTTTAAACAGCTGATCATTCCGGTCAATTTTGGAACGAACGATCGGGTTCAACCGGTAAAAAGTCGGTACATTTTGGAACGGTTTGGTGAGTAAACTATTGAACCGGTATCGCACCGGTTCAGAAACCGGTGAATTTTGGAAAGTGCCCACACCTGACTTTTACCGGAATTTTTTGACATCTACCGGTTTATTTAACCGGTGAAATTTGGAATGTGCCCTATACAGCAAGGTTCCTAGTCTCTACAAGGTATGCATATGTCATTTCCATCCGTTTGTGACGTCACACATAAGCGGCATAAATAGTTAAATACACACACCTAAACACTAAAAATAATTAATACTGTTGTCCCAGGAAGCATTTTTCCGTTTCCTATTTGGTTACCGCTACATGGAGCGCTAATCCTTTAGGACTTGTAAAATTATATCTCGCATCGCGTTTCCTATTAGGCCAGCGCACATTAACTACAGCTACATGGAGCGCTAATCATATAGGACTCGTTAAATTATATCTGTCGCGTTTCCTTTTAGACAGCGCACATAAATTAAATAACTACGCTCATTTTGCCAACCATGCGGTTACGTGTCTTTTGACATTGGGTTGGTTTTTAATAATAATTAATGAAACAACTTGAAGTCTTTAACTTTTTATTGTTGCAGCCAAATTATTTCCAGCAGTTATAAAAAAATACTTTATTATTAATAAGTGTTTCTACTGTAACCTGTAAGAGGAAAAAAATATTAGTGGCAGCAAAGAACTTTACTGTTACACAACCCACGTACTTTTTGCTACTTGGTAAAGTGCATTCTCTTACTAAAATAGGATCGTTCTGCAATTACAGCTAATTCTGCTATGATAGCCGAAAATCCATTAGTAAAGAATTTTTGGCTAGAGGATTTCTCGGCGCAGAATACCTAA